TACTTGAAACATTGTACCAAGAGGGTCTATAGCACTTGAGTGTGTGCTTTGGAAAACAGGCTCTCTACCCAGCAGACTAGTTGTTCTGAATACTCTAAAAGTTTATAGTTCCTCTCCATTTTGTACAGTTTAAGCAAGTGGGGTTTTTTTAAATTCCTTTGAAATAGCTGAGCCAAGCAGAARACAAACAAACATCATTTGTGGAATCAGAATCCAAGGGATAAAAAAAAAAGAATTCTTTGAGTTGAGAATAGAGGAGCAGTCACACTGGACCAGACATGAGACCATCATGTAGCCAGGTCCCTGACAATGGAGTAAAGAGTCAAAAGCAGCTGATGGCCAGGAAAGAAAAAGGCTAAAAGCATGGCAAACATATACAATACTTCCCCAAGTATTCTTCCATCTGTAGTTCATTTGTTTCCTTGAGTTGAAGGCAATTACCAAATGACTTCTTTCATTATCTTCAGATGGGAAAATTGCAAATACCGAGTTATTTGCTATGAGCATTTCCATAAAAAAAAAAAGTTATATCCGACACTTCTGTACTCCTCTTTTGAAAGACATGCAGGTAAGTTTTAGAGCAGATCTGGCACCTGATCTTTCCAAGATCTGGCATGAAAGTACAGGTGAGAGAAGACCTACGCAGAGTAACTCATTTGCAGACTCAGTGGAATATTTAATGTGTGCATTTCTGTGATTTAAAATGATAACAACATAGCAACACACATTCTAAGCATTCTGGCAAATTTAATTCTGGAAATTCTGGAAAGTATCTCTGGAAGAGATGTTTTTCAGTAACAGTGAGAAGTGATGCAAGATCTACAGGTTGATGAGTAAGGGTGATGCATATTTTAAATAATTCAGCGAATCAGGAATGAATCTGATATATCAGTAGTATTTACACACACTTACTTTTGATCCATCCCTGCTATTGCAGGCATGCTCATGAGTCTTTGAAGTCTAATCCTGTAAAAACAAACCCTATTAAAGAAATGAAGCTTCACTTCACTATTTTCACTATTTTCACTATTTTCACTACTGAGGCTTACATTGTTACAGCCAACCATTTAACTCATATCGGGCTAGTGAATAACCATCCATTGAACAGAGTGCTGACTCTCAAGGCTTCTGTAGAGATTACAGCCCTAAAACAAAAAAGAAAAAGCAAGGAGAACCAAAAAAGAAAAAAAAAAAGAAAAAAAAAGCAGCAAGGAGGAGAAACAAAAACAAAAGAAAGCAAGGAGAAATAAAAATAAATATATATTCACATGCTCAACACAGCATGAACAGAAAAATCCAAAAAGAACATGCATTGAAACTAAGCTTGTGTAATTGCTCTTGGTTTTAGAACTAGTGTACTAGCTATATTCAAGCATCTCCTTCTTTTTAGTCCAAATCTTCCAGACTTCCGCATTTTACTAGTGTAAGGTGCTGCTGTTAGGGACATATAGTGTTGAGTTGGCACTTAGCACTTATGTAGTAAAAATCAGATGCATGAATTGTTTTTGCCATATTAACATGCTTGAGAACTTTTCGCCTCCTGGATGGCCATTTCTTCCTGGATTTTCCTCACCTCTCTGTGCRCATGGCTATAAAAACATTGGCTCTCACTTTGGTTGTCCTGTAGCTGCTTCGTAAGAACTCGGCAACGAGCCATGCCAGGTTAATAAGCAGACAGGTGAGCTAAACTTTAAACTCCTTTTTACTTACAAAAATTCCAAGCTTACTTGGCAGCCTCCTGGTACTCTGTATCTCTCATATCTCTTACATCTCTGTAAGGCACAACAGAGGGAGAAACCCCCAGACCAGGATTCACCATCGCTCTGCAGCAGGACACGTTGAGACCGCACAGGATGGGCTCTACCTATGAAAAATAAGAGAGGGGACACCTGCCTCTGTGCTAGTGCCTTGCTGCAAACAGGACTTTGGAAAGCCCGCTGCACCAACCCTGCTGATGGTTAACCAGCACTGCRAGAAGGCCCAGCTAGGTGCTAAGGCGCTACCTAAGCGGCATCTCCTAAAYTGACCTGACCTCTGGGTGCCAGAGGGAACTCCATGTGCTGCAGAGGCAACGAGCATTGAACACATGCGAAAGGAACGGCCTGGGGAAGGTTACCTTGTGTCACYTGGCGCATGGGGAACAACACTGGGCATCACAGAACCACCGGGGTGGCATCCAGAAAGCCACACAGAGCTGGAACTTGAATCCTTGGCTAACAGTGGGTGAACTAGTACTATCAGGCTATAAAAAAAATTTTAAAAAGCCAGTTAAACATAGCAGAGAAATCCTGG